ATTCCTGGGGAGCAGCAGGACGCCCGGGGCAACAATGTCGCCCTTCTATAGTAACAAACCGTCCAGGGGTTTAAACACCACTGTCTCCCTTTACTTTTTCTCTCTTTTCTTTTTTTTATTTTAACTTTTCCTGCTCTGTCCAAATGTCACGTTCACCTCAGTTGACTCCTGTCTTTTTTCTTCTCTGTTTTCTCTATTTTCTGCCAGTGAAGACGTGGACCCGGCCGAGTGGAGCTCTGAGATTGTTTTTGTTTTTCTGTATTTTCTTTTTTCTTTTCAAACCTGCAGGACATTACAGCAGTAATGAAGAGCGGCCCAGTGTTCTGCCTCCTCCTCTTCCCCCTCTCTCTCTCTCTCTTTTGCTCCCCTCCCTTGTAAACACGAGTGTCTCTCACCCATCGGCGCTTCCACCCTCTGAAAATGAGGGATAGTGAACTGTTTGGGGTTTTGAAGCTGCTGCCTCTGGAGTGGGTTTTTTTTATTTTTTATTTTCCACAGACAGAGGAGGAGATGACCGACAGCTGACATCAGCCGTAACTGCACTGTGGGCGCTCGGCAGTGTGGAAGTAAAGAAAGTGGATAAACAGAGCGAGGGGGAAAAAAAGTGATAAACAGTAACCCAGTTCAAACGGTACTGTACTGTACTGTACTGTAGCTTCAGTCCCACAGAGATTCTCATTCTCTAGTCATTAAAATAGCTGAAATACAAGTCATGTTTGAAGTTCATGGTGACTTCACTTTCAGTATTTTCATTTTTTTTCCTGTCAGTTACACATTTTTCTCATCATTACAAAATATTAAATGTATACAGTAGTTTTGCTACTTGGATGTGAAACACTAACTATGGATGAACTGTTACATTAATGGAGTTTTATAGTAACTGTGTGTACTACTCGGTAGTGAGTGGATTTAGATTTTAGAATAATTTATATTTGTTTTAGTAGTTTTGGGAATAGGCAATTTTAATTTCACTTAAGTACATTTTAACTCGAGTATTTTACTTCGCTACATTTGAAAAGATTAAAAAAAAAAAAAAAATTAAATGCGGGGAAAATGGAAGGAAAATCGGGTGCTCGGATTTCCCACTGTTAACGTAGCCAGAGAACGTAGACTGAGCGACGTACTGTAGTTTGTCATTGGACGGTGGCCGGTGTCGGACAAAACACTGAGGTCGACGTTTGCGGAGCAGCGAGCTCCTGAGGAGCAGAGGAGTCGGAAAAAGAAGGAATCGTTGGCCGTATTTTTAACAGCTTTTTGTTTTCAAATGCAAAAAAGGCCATAACGTTTTATCAGGCGATGCTAAAATGTAGCTGCCGCGGCGGACAGAGTTGACGGAGCTTTTTATTTGAAAACTTCCACGTCAAACCTGTGGTGAGGCCTGTGGTGAAGCCTGTGGTGGTAAGTACAGTATCTGTGCTTTCACCTGTGTTTACAAATCTTAGGTTTATTGTTTAGTTAAAACTTTACTTCACATTTTAAGAACGATGTACCTTCGTGACATCGATTATTTTCGGCTAGGTTAGTGTCCATTCCGATAAGCAACGTTTCGGTGGAATCGCGTCACGATTGAAAGTTTGTTTTTTTACCAGAACTCGGTCAAAATTGATACAGTGTACGATTTAGTTTTTCTGTTTAATAGACTAGATCATGTTGTTGTATCCTAGGATATGATGTTTGATTTGACAGTGATATTCGATCAAAATTACATTAACAAACATTTTGTTATACAGTCAAATGTCGGACACGTGTGGTGCGTTCAGTGTGCCTCGTTGAAATGATTGACGCTTCTACTGACGGGTTGCTACAGCCTTTCGTTCAAAGTAAATAAAAATAGCGAGTTAGCTCAAGTGAAATCATATTATTTACAGTAAACTTTTTATTATTTATTATGTAACATAAATGTAGTCAAATATTTACATGAACCTTGATCCTAATAATCGTTTGCTAAATATTAAAAATATGTCCCTCAATATTTGGAAACATTTCACGGTGGCGTAAGTTTTTCATTAAATTTATTTATTTCTCTAACTTCTCTATTCAAACGAACACAGGCAGCAGCAGTAAATCAAATCTACTATTTATTATTTATTTCCCTGCATTTTCCTACAAAATATATTCCATGTTTTGACATTTATCTAGAGGAGAAATCTATTCCATGTTTTGACATTTATCTAGAGAAGAAATCAACAGACTTTATTTTTTTTATTAAGCCAATAAATCAAGCAGAAAATATTTGTTGTTATTTATCCTTGGTATTTTTGGAACAAACCTTCACTGATGAGGCACAGTTTAAATGATATAAGGATATAAAAGAAAAAAGAGGAGGGAGGGGAGAAGAAAAAATAGAAAATTGTACTTCTAAATAAATAATCCTCACTTCCGTCGTCATTATCAAGTCTTTGGGTTCTTGTCATTTTATAGTTATTTCTATATTATTGTTCCAAACATATGGTTCACATGTGCAGCTGCAGTGTATTTTCTGTTGTAACGGCAGCAGCAGCAGGAACAGAGACCTGCAGGAAGTGAGGTCACTCTGCAGAATCCTGGAATAAACACCCGTCCAGGTGTAAACAGATCGAAACGATTCACACAGGGGCCTGATGACAACAAACCGGACCGTCTTTCTCGCAGCAGTTTGACCTCTCTGACCTTTCAGTGTGTGTTTTACTGCATGGTTCCAGTGTTTTTTTCACATTGTTACAGCGACATGTTTCTGTGTGTGGGAGTCGGCGTCTACTCTCTGTTTCTGTGTTAACCAGAAACAAACGTTTCCCCAACTGAGCTCCATTTCATCTCCAGGACTTCCTGCCTTAATTGAGACAAGACTTTCATAATTTCCACCCTCACACCCCCCCCCCCCCCCCCCCCCCCCCCCCCCCC